ACTGATAATGCAATTTTCCAAGCTACAGTGTATTTGAAGTTGATTTTGTTGGAGAGCAGGGCCTCTTCATGTGGTTGTAAAGCCAGCCTGGCGACTGCTAGGATGTCCAAAAAAAGAAATATAGATTTGTCAAAATTATATCATCTTCTATGGTCTAATTATCTCTAGAAAACTGTTAATATTAAAATTCAAAAAATAAATTTGTAAAACAGACGTTGATTTTGTTGGGTCAAGGTAATGGGAACGTTATTAATTCAAAATTTTGAAGAAAAAAAAAATTGGACTTGAAAAGGCAAGTTTTTACATTCTTTTTAATATTTTTTAAAAATCTTAACAATGGGTTCACACCCCGCCTTACCTCTCACTCGTCCACTGTGAAGATAATTTTAACAAGGGTTTACCTCTTACTCAATCCAATGTGAGAATAATCTCAACAATTACCTCTCACTCAATCCATTGTGAAGATAATTTTAGCAAGGGTTTACCTCTTACTCAATCCATTGTGAAGATAATCTTAACAATTGGGGTTTACACCTCTCAACAATTACCTCTCACTCAATCCATTGTGAAGATAATTTTAGCAAGGGTTTACCTCTTACTCAATCCAATGTGAGAATAATCTCAACAATTGGGGTTTACACCCCGCCTTACCTCACATTCAATCCATTGTGAGGATAACTTTAAAAAGGGGTTTACCCCGCCTTACCTCACACTCAATCCATTGTGAAGATAATCTTAACAATTGGGGTTTACACCCCCGCCTTACCTCACATTCAATCCATTGTGAAGATAATCTTAACAATTGGGGTTTACACCCCGCCTTACCTCTCACTCAATCCATTGTGAAGATAATCTTAACAATTGGGGTTTACACCCCACCTTACCTCTCACTCAATCCATTGTGAAGATAATCTTAACAAGGGGTTTACACCCCGCCTTACCTCACACTCAATCCATTGTGAAATTAATCTTAACAATTGGGGTTTACACCCCGCCTTACCTCTCACTGAATCCATTGTGAAGATAATCTTAGCAATTGGGGTTTACACCCCGCCTTACCTCTCACTCAATCCATTGTGAAGATAATCTTAACAATTGGGGTTTACACCCCGCCTTACATCACACTCAATCCATTGTGAAGATAATCTTAACAAGGGGTTTACCCCGCCTTACATCACACTCAATCCATTGTGAAGATAATCTTAGCAAGGGGTTTACACCCCGCCTTACATCTCACTCAATCCATCGTGAGAATTATCTTAACAAGTTTGTAAACTAAATCTGCCTTGGTAACATACAAAGCAAAGGAAAACATTTTGGAGAATTTAGACGACTTTAAAAGAGAATATTAATTAGCTGAACCCTCATTTGAAAAATTTACCCTTTCTTGTTGTAAGCGCCTCAAAAAAATCTTCATAATCTCAAAAAAATTTCCAGGGGTGGGTAGTATTTAGAAGAATATAAAATAAAATTACAAATATTAGATTGAGAACACAAACTAGGATACAATCGACGTCTTTTCTGACCAAATAATTCCACCTTTTAAACATAGTTGATCCAACCCCCAATAAAGTTGGCTGCAGCTATATAGTAATTCCACTTTTTTTAAAATTATCTTGGTTAGCCAACTTCAGTGCTTGAAATTTGTTCCTGCTGACATTAAAATTTAAAAAAAAAATTATTTTATTTTTAAATCCCTGAATTCTTTGAAAAAAAATCAAGGATCTCTGAATTTTCTAAATGAAGGATAAAAGCTAGATTAGAACTTAGAAGTATACGGGGAAAGAAATTAGAAATTGGTGTCTCTTTTTGGCAAAACTGTTAATCTGCTGTTGTTTTTTATTAATGTAAACTATACAGCCGGACCCCTAAAACTGTTGCATAGGAAGACGACTGAAGTGGGGGGGCGGCGATATTTTATTTCTAGGGGCTAGGGTGGGGTTAAATAGGGCTAGCCCCCTCGTGAAAAATTTTCAAATAAAAAGCGCTGTTTTTAGGATCGGCTCTGTGCTCAATAATATACCAAATTCTTATAATAACCATGGCTTGTGTTGAAAAAATATATATTTTCAACAGCTTTAATATGAAAGACATGAGTAAATTAACTTAACATGTGCGCGAAGCGCCAAAAAATGTCTGTTCTTCTAGTGTCTTTTCATGTATTTCAGTGGGTGAAATATGCTGAGAGGGGGGGGGGAAAAATTTCGGTTCGCCCCCCTCCCAGTTGCGCCACTGGACACATTTCATGTTTCAAAGCTAATAATCAAACATGAAACATTAGATTGATTAAATGTAGTCCTATTATTCCACAGTTTCTGGACTTCACTGTATCAATCACAAATAACTGAAAAGTCAAGGAAAAGAAAATTGTCTAAATTTTGCAAAATGGTTCTCCATCTTCTAGTTTGGTTAGTATGAGTCAGAGAAGATATAAACTCACTTGCCCGAAAGAATTGATCTTAATCACGATGGGCGTATTTGGTAGGGGAGAGGAAGGGGGGCCGGGAGGAAGGGGGGGGGACTCCAGACGCTGGTTTATGAAAGGAGAGGGGGAATTATGTTGCTTTTCATACATTGGGGGAATTTGTAAGAAGCTAAGAAATATGTAATAAGAATGGGGAATGGGGATTAAATATTGATTACTAGTAATTTCTTTTCGTTTTTTTTACAGTGGAATACATCAGGGTGGATGATAGTTCTCTACCTTTGTGCTCAGTTAGCTGTACTGTACACTTGCAACTGTTTACTTATATTGATATACTATAGGTTAGGCCAGAATCAACTAAAAAAAAAAAACGAAATATGCAGTACGCTCTTGGTATAGTTTATGGCCTATACAATTAGTAAAGGATTAGCGTACATCATCCACTCTATACACTATAACCTCGTTGGAATACATACATTTGTGGACTAGGAAGACGACATTAACTGATCCATTTCACTTACTAAGTTGCTTTTTTAGCTATGGACAAAAATATTTGTTTTATAAAAACAAGAAATACACATATTACATGTCGTCTTTATATAACATATCTTTCTGGGCTCTACTGTACCTTGCTAATTTTTCGTATTTGTATTATCTGTCTGATTACGGCATAACACTCCAATATGACTAATAAACGGAACAATAGTGTTATGTAAAAAAATACTTTTCAGATGCCTTTTTCCAAGGTTGTAATGCAAGGAAAGTTAATTGCGGTTGTGTAAACTCTGCGTACATATTGAAACCAGTTCTCTTTGGGCGGAATTTGTAAACAAGAATAGATGCATCAGTGTTCGTTTAGTATCCGAGGAGGTTAAAAGCATTAAATTTTGATAATTTTGATAATTCACATAATAGTTTCCTATGACCAGAATATTTCACTGATTTTTTTATGTGGAAGATGGATCCCATGTCAGGCTGTAGCATCCGTCTTGTGTTTACATTACCGCCCAGAGACAGTACACTGCAGTACACTTCTGAATTAACTTTCCTTGCATTACATTCTTGCCTTTTTCTAGGATTATGAGGATTGACGTAGAAGAATGATAATAAATATATAAAAAGCACGTTGAAGATAATTGCACATAAGATTGAAAAATTGAATGTTTTTAATAAGTTAATTGTAGATCTATTGAGAAGAACGAAATTGGTATGAATTTTTTATATGTAATAATTGTGACCAGAGCTGAAAACTTTAGAATGCGATATCCTTAATCACGATAGCTTAATCTGAGTATCCAATGGACACACTTTTGATTTTCTTTATAATCCTCTTTTTGGATATCCCTATACTGTATAAAAGTTACGTTTTTGATAACAATTACAGATACGATGCTATATCGATTGGACTAATATCCGATTGAATTTAAATCAGCTGTTCACAAGTCGGCTTTTAGAGCATTTAAACAAATATAAATTTTACCATGTTAATATGAACTTTTTAAAAAACATATGTTATCACATTTTAGGACATTTATAATTTTAAACGTTAGTCTTAACAAACATTAATCCAAAATTTACGTTGGTTCAATCGATGTTTAGTTCAATTGATATGACACCATCAACACCAGAAATAGAACCATTTTTTTAAGTTAATGAGTACATATTAACATGACACGCTGATTGGTTAAATTTCAAACTTCTTTCTTGGATATCGTATTCCAATAATCTAGGGTTTAGTAAAACCAGGAGTTTAAGCATTAATCTTGAAATCCATCATTCTTAAGTTTTCAGCTCAGATAGATTTTTCTTATCGAATCAAAACTAGAGGAGCTACGAGGTCACAAAGTCGTAGCAGTGGTGTCGCATACAGTTTACCTTCTCGTTTACAGGTTGTCAGCTGCTAAAAATAAAGAGAAAAAGAGCGAATTTCTTCTAAGTACTTAAAAATGATCAATTTAAAAAAAAATATTAATAAACATCATATTATTTCATTTCAAATATAGAAGTAAATACTGTGTACATATAAATCCACTTGTATCTATTTATCTATCTATCTCTCTATTTTTCTATCTATCTTGCTGTCTATCTCTTCAAGGAATATTTCCACAAGATTTCTTACAATCTGTAATAATTTCTAGAACTAACAAAGGATTGTATTTTCACGAATTATTATGTATTACACAAATCCATTTAATTCCAACATTCGTCAGATTTATAAATAGCATATAAATCCTTTATTTAAAGCTGACTTGTGCTTTTATATTTTTACATAGATTAATTAAAATAACATATAGAACACTAGATGTCGTCTTTTCATGATCTATGTGTGTTTCGTTCACAATAACCCGAAGTCAGAAGCCTAAAGGAGTTACGCGTAGTCGGCGTAGAACAGGCTCTCTCTCTGTCTTGTAATTCTACAGAGAGAGAGGATGTTTTATTAATGCCCTTTAACAAATAGCTCTATAACAAATAAATTTTATTTAAAGAGTTAGTTAACAATTATGAAGGGGGGGGGGGGTAATCCTTTTTTGCCCCCCCCCTTGTATAAAATCTTTAAATATCTGTTTTAATTTTATCAATAGTTAACCATCATATCGTCGAATGTATCATCCATTTCATTAGCAACCTTCTGCACTTTCAACTTCTGCCGGACAATGTCGTCTTCAATCTCATCAATTCTAAACAATTGTTGTCAAATATAAATACTTTCCGGTCAGAATAAATAAAAATAAGAAGTTAAATTTTTAGATTAACAACGGTATCCTTTAAACCTGATCAAGGATGACGTAAATATTGTAATGGAGAAAATATCGTCTTCCCAACCAAGAAAAAAATCCTCCAACAAGATGAGATAAATCCACAAACCAGTTGGTTCCAAGAGAAGAACATGATTTGTCATCCTTGTCGTGAATCGGACATGTCACTCTATTATTGGAGAGTTACATAAGATTTCGGCTGCACCACCTTTTTGTTGTCTTTTTGTACAACCCCCCCCCCCACAACCTCGTGAAACATATATCTACTAAAACATTTCGTTCGTTTTTTTCAATCGTTCAAAAAAAATTGAACTTGTTCGTTCCCGAGCTCATCGTTCCATTTCCATCTATTTTGTTCGTTTTCTCACTGAACGATCGTTCTGTAAAATCGTTCGTTCAGTAAAAACGATCATTTTTTAAATGTTCGAAAAAATCGTTTGTTCAAGAAATAACTACTGTTTTTTAAGTTTGTTTAAAAAATCGTTCTTTCAGTAATACGAATACGACTATATCGTTTTTTCCAAATCTTTTTAAAAAATTCGTCGTTTAGTAAAAAAGCGATAGTTTTTATTTAAGTTCGTTCGAACAATTTTAAATCGTTCGTTTTAAAAAACGAGAATTTTTATTTCTCTGAACAATTATTTCGTTTGTCGATCGTTCGTTTTTTTTCTGAACGACACCTTTTTCCACGAAAAATTTCGTTCGTTTTCAAAACTTTTGTTTGTTTCCCAGTGTGAACTGTATATTCTGTAAAATGCATTGTCTGGGGATGTTTTGTAAACAAACATTGGCTGCAGCAGATTTGGCAAGAATACTCATTTGTCATTATTTTCCTTATAAATCTTCCATCTTTATAAACATTTATACTAATAAGTGTGTCCCAATAAACATAAAAAATGAAAGACAATAAAATTGTTTTTTTTAGTTATATGATTGTATCCGATTAACGTCTCTATCTGTCTGATTGGTTTGTTTGTCAGTCTTGAAATATCCCCCCCGCCACCAGGCGCCTAACTGCATGCCTTCTTTAAGTTCAATACTTGTTTTTCAAAACTGAATTGTTGTTAAAATTAGTAAAAAAGAAAGCATTCATAAACTAATATTTCAATAGGTTTTATACTGTTATACAGGGTGTCCCACGAAACATGACAGTTGGTGAATAGTTAACTGTATTAGATTAAACACTATTTGAAGTTTATTGCGTTAAAAAAAATCTTTTACTAAAATATATCTTACTTTGAAATCCATTGTACTATATTATATGACTCCAATATAATTGTTTTATTATTCTCTTTGGTATCAAACAACTTAACAAATTATGGAAGAAGACATTTTAAAATATTCATTAACTGTCATGGGACACCCTGTGCTTAATTCTTAGTATCTAATTGTAAAAATAAATAAACAGTCATGCATGAATTATGGAGAAGAGATTTAAAAAGCTCAATATATCTATATAATTAAAAAACTAAATAAATGCAACATTCCATTATTAGTAGATTTAGAAGACGACATTTCATAAATTCTTTAATGTATCCTAAGTTCTGATCCAACCTGTGATTTAGTTTGTTTATGTTCTTTTCCCCATATTCTTGTTTACGGTCAGCTCCCTTTAATTTCACCATCAACAGCTTTATCTCAGTCTAAAGGTTGAAAAATTAAATAGATATATATTATAAATAAAAAGGGAAAATCTAATAAATCTTGCGAAAATAAAGAGACAATTAGTGTATTATAATGAGATATAATAAAACCAGACATGTCCCTACAGCCGGATAAACGGCTGGACCGAATGGGATGACATTTGTTTTGGACATAGCGGATAACATAGCCTTGACAAAAATACGAATTATTTTTTTTCTACAATATTTAATTTTCTTTTTCAAATTTTTTTTTCAAAATGATTTTTTTACGGGCAATTCCGGGTTCTTCAGCGAATAAGATATGTAAATTCAATGCTAAAAACTAAAGGGAAAGTCCAACCAAAAACTATGAAATAAAAAAGGGACGATCAGCGAAATAATACAGAGTAATAGACAATTTCAGAAAATATTGGGAAAATAAATCGACAATTATAGAAATAATAAAAGAATTATGAATATTTAAAATGGTCTTTAGGCGCGCTACAGTTGTGGTTTATATAAATTTGAAAAAAGAAGTAATTTTCTAGAAAGTCCCCCCCTTCATTAAAAAGATGTACATGAAATATATATATATGAGTTAATTTATGGGAGGGGGGGGGGTCCAGAAATCGTTCTCTAGGATTGAAAGTGAAATGGGTCGGTTTACACTGCAAAATTATCTCATGTTCATCGGACTATTTAAAGCCATAACTTAAGTATAAAAGTCATCTTCTTATATCCGAAGTTTAAGCTGGTTCTCACTTATATGATGTTGTTTTACAAATTGCTTGAAATTAACTGAGGAAATGGATCTGTTTGCACTGCACAATTGCTCTGTTTATAGTCATAATATATAAGTCGTCTTCATATTCCATTGTTGTATGGGTTCGAACTTCAACCAGAATAAAATTGAAAAAAATCCGTGTTTGTGATGGTTTTCCTTGTAAAAAAAATGTTAATTTTAATGATTTGTTTTAATCAAAATACATTTGATATACCTGGAACTTTTCCTCTCTCCAGAGCGCCTTTTCTTCGGAAACCTGAGGTTTAAATTAATGAATTGCAAGAATTAGGGAAGCAAGTTGCAGATAGTGGAACTACTATTGTCCAATCATTGCCAGCAGAAGCCACATTGATCTTGCCAGCCTACATTTGTTGCATAAAAATTGCTACGTCGACTTTTCACTGGGTAGTCAAGACTGGTCGGTACAAGAGAACACATATACAGGACCACTACACTAGATCGGTAAATCCTTGTTCCGGTTTGATTGAAGCCATGTGAAGTATTTACTCGTACCGGGCAGTCAGTTGTACCCAGAGTGTATGTACCCAGCACGTTTTATGTACAAAATATTGGCCATGGAAGGCCAGACATGAAAACTAGCTTTAACTAGCTCACCTAATATTAATATTTATTAACTCATTATGTTTAAAAAAAAATTAGAAAAATACTTAATATTTTAAAATAAATCCGACCTCAAGGGTTTTCATATTCTCTCCGATCATTCTGAGTTCCTCTTCTAGACTGGAAACCTGGAAATAAAACATCTGATAAAGTATTCGCAAATAATCTTTTAATTAAAAGCACCTTTAAAGGACTGTAAGCGTAATTTCAAGTGACCTTCCATTCACTGTCCGATTTGCAACAGTACCCTTGAAACCTTCATCTCATCAAAAATGTGGAAGAAAATGTCGTTTTACTGACTCGGGACGTGTTTATTTCTGTGAATTTGTCTATTGCATGCTTAAAACCAAGAAATGAGAGAAACCGCGACATAGCAATAAACAGTTTGAAGAAAGGAAAAAAAACATTGGTATTCTTCATACTTGATCAGACAAAGCGTTCAATGGTACCATTGTAAATCGGCCATTACCCTCTGTGCATGGAGGGTCACCTGAAATTACGCTTATAGTCCTCTAGGAAAGTCAGAAATCAATTAAAGTCATTGATTAGACAAAAATCATTCTTTATTATCTGCTATTTTTTTCTCACACTCAGGGCCATTATGGTGATTTAAAGAACTTTTTCCAAATACTGGACTGACTTTTAATCAACAAGAGGCTATGTAAGGTACAGTACGTCGAAGATATGATCCTCTTCTAGCAAAATTCACGTGTCTAAGATAATAGAGAGATCTCATTCCTTACATCTTTTTAAGACCAAGGAAAAGCATAGTTTTTTTAGTTTACTTTTTGCATAGCTAAATACTCCATCTGTTTACAACTTTCACAATTTTATTTAAGATCGCATAAAATGGAATGTTAAACTTATATTACGTAACTTTAAAATTAAAAACTTTGATATGAGTGATTAAGGAGAGCACCCCCGGCCGAGCCTCCGCTATGATGCAGTTCAAATTTTATACCAAAGCTTTTTTATGCGAGAAGGATGATATTAAGAAAACAAAATCTAAAATGAATTCGTGTTGATTGATAAAATCTTTGATTTAAGAAATACCTTTTTTGTTGATTTAAAAAAAATCTTTTAAACAATTATTTTGCATTACAGATTTTTCTAAATACTAGCTGAAAGGCCCGGCGTTGCCCGTGGATAAAAAGAGAAATTTTTGAAAGAAAAAAACGATTTTTTAGCCTATAACACCCCCCGGCCACCCATGAGTGTCCACAAAAATTTCAGCCCAATCGGTCCAGTCGTTTGGCCGGCTATAGGCAACATATATACGATTGTTTTGGTATATAGATAAATAATTTTTCAAAATAAGGTTAAGTTTAAATCAAAGATTTTAACAAATTTCTTAATATCCTCTTTTTCATAATAAAATTTTAGAAGTTTTATTATGAAACTTATACTGTATAGCGGAGGCTCAGTGCTGCATAACAAATCTAAGAGGCTCATGGCGGTCGGGGTTCCCTCCAATGCGTGATAAACGAAAAATTTACACTTTTTTTAGTTTACCTTTCAGGCACCTCTAAAGTCTGACCACGTCAACCTTGTTGCACCGGCTAGTCCTATTGAGTGTCTGCTTTACTTACCCAATGTCCGGGCGATACAGTACAAACTGGGACCGGAAACGTTGACCCGGCTCGGAAATTCAAATGTACTATACGACTGCCCGTGCATTTTTATAACTGAATTTTCCATCTGTTTACAACAATAACTTAAGAATATTCTTTCCCAATTATATTTGAGATCGCATAATGTAGAATTCATATTAATATTACTCTGGGAACCCAACGTTGTCCAGGTTTTCATAGTTACTCCCACCGTTTACCCGCACTTGGTTGATTTTACCGGGAAACCAAATTTTCTGACCCACTCAACTAAGAATCTCAAAACCTGGCTGAGCTAAGAGCATTCCCGTGGTTCTTCCGAGTTCTCCAATCAAAATTTGAGAAAAATTGGTCAAGAAGTTTTTGATTTATGATCGGACAAACAAACAGACGGACATACAATAAACAGAGATTACAACTTTATATATATTTAGATATTAGAGGCACCGTGGAGCTAATCTTTTCAGAACAATTGCATTCAAGTTTGAGTCCAAAGAGAATACATAGTTTTAGAGTTAGCACCAGCAGTTATCAAAGAGAATACATAGTTTTAGAGTTAGCACCAGCAGTTATCGAAGAGAATACATAGTTTTAGAGTTAGCACCAGCAGTTATCGAAGATTTTAAACAAAATAGTAAATATTTGCTGTGTTTTTGTAAACATTTGCATGCTAACTAGTTAACAACAAAACTAACTTTCAATTATGTTTTCTTTATTTAATTGAAAAGTGTTAAAATACGGGTATTGTTATAAAAAAAATTGTTCTTAATTTCTAAATGCTCAATTGTGTACACTGAAAGAGGTTCATTTTTTAACTGGAAGATTTACACTTAATCTATGTGGAAAAAAAAGGTTTTTGTTTCAATATTTTTTCAGATTATTTGTATTTTTGTTGTGCAATGCAAACAAACCCCACTTTTTTGTGACTGTGGACTGTGCAGTGTGCATTGGGACGCCTGAGAATTGTGTGATCGTTAATTGTAGCTTTGATTTATGTCCCGAATCGGTTAAAATGTTTGCTGGGTAGCTCTCGATTTTTTATTTCTCTATCAACAAGAATGTATACAAACTACAGTACAATTATATATATATATATATATATATATATATATATATATATACTTTTATCCTCTGTGTTATGTGAGACTAAATGTTTATGTTTACATTTAAATCCGAGAAAATGATATTTTCACAACAAAAGGAACTCTAGCGGGGTATTCAATTTTAAACCCCAGGAATCTATCTATCTTTCTATCTTACTTTCTTTCATTTATCTATCTATGTATTTATATATATACATATTTTACCCCGGGAACTTTTCCAGTTTTGATTTGCTTTTGTTCAAATAGAAACATCAAACTTCAGTGTTCAACTTGCCTTTCTATTTATCTATCTATCCATCTATTTTCAACATATCTATTTAACTATCCATCTATTTTCAACATATCTTTTTATCGATCCATCTATCTATTCATTAACAGAATTAAGTAGAATCATGGAGGAAAAGGATATATGAATCAAATCACACAAGACCAAACCAGGATAAGGAACCAGAGACGGAAAACAGGGACAAGTGAAGATGATAACGGCATGGGACAGAGGTAATAAGAAAGCAGAACAGTACGACAAAGTCAGAGCGGTCAGTTTAAGAGAAAGCAGAACAGTACGACAAAGTCAGAGCGGTCAGTTTAAGAGAAAGCAGAACGGTACGACAAAGTCAGAGCGGTCAGTTTAAGAGAGAGTGAACCTGTAGCGCCAGCAAGAATAGCGGTCAGTTTAAGGCAGGAATAAGACAAAGAGAACCAGTCTTAGAAAATTCACAGAACTAGGAGGAGGAGCAAGACAATTTCTGCAATGATGTCACACATAGTAATGTTGTTATCATGGTTCTTCTGGCAGGTTTGGGTTTGGAGAACGCCTCAGACTGAAAGGAAAACAGCCACCGTATACGGGTCCATGACAGTGAAGACATAGGAGAAGCAAATCCTATTCTGGGTAATCAACAAAAATATGAAAGCAGAACGAGTAAAAAGAATAATGAGATAGCTGAGACAGAAAACAGCACATCGGATTAGCTGAACCACAGAATACTATGATGGCCGAACTGTCAGCCAACATGGACCAGACTCAAGTATAGACCTGGAGACAGACAAAAATCTGGAGAGAGAGTTTGATGTAGTAAGAAAGCAAAGACACTTGGAGTAACAATGTAAGGAGTCAAGAGGTAAAAATAAAGATGTACAGCAAGAAGAGGTACAAAAAGAAGATGTACAAGAAGAATATATATGGAAAGAACAGAAGTGTCATAATAAGTATAAACAAGAGCGCAACACTGTTCAAGTGCTTAAAACCCCCCTTAATTCCAGAACAAAAGTGTCAAGATGTTCCCAATCAGAAATGCCAAACTGAGTATGGAAAGAAGTGCCAGACTCAATACAGACAGCAGGAGATCCACAGGGAGGATCTCCTGCGGCACACGGATGGTATAAGCGAATTCCCACCTCACACCATGTGGGAAGCAAAAGTTAGCGACTTTAGCAAATGTGGGTAGAGCTGCCAGGAAAGTGATGCCAAAGGAACCGCTCAGTAAGCTTTTTAAAGCTTTACCTGACTGCACCCCGATGATGGAAGTAGTAAGCAACCAGTCAGACCATCGACACTCATGCTCATGACCTACCTCTCGAAAGGGAGTGGGTTTGGAGAAACGCTTGTGCATAAGATCTTCCTCCTGCAAAGGAGAAGATCCAACCCTCACCAAATGCTTATCGCATCGGTGCTTAGGACCCACCTCCTGCAAAGGAGGGGGTCTAATCTCACAAGTACTTTCCCCGGCTATTCCGACAGCTGTATATCATGAGGGAAGCTTACAATGACGACTGGAGGGGGCGCAGGATACTGATCGCCTTATGGCCAGTGGCCCAGCAAGCCGCTGTAACCAGGCATATCGAACGATTGCTAGTATTCAACCCAATAAGAAGAGTACGGCGAGAAAAGTGGTGTACTGCAACCTAGAAATTGCAGTGGACTCTTTTCGGAGAGATCAAGGCTACGACCCGATCATTGCTGGGGACTTTAATGTCAACATCGGCGAGGATCTTGTAAAACTTGGTGAAGGTCAGACATACGGCGCTCTTAAACGGACGGCGAAAGGGAGGATTCACCCTCTGAAAACCACCGGCAGGTGGTCGGCAAAACGTGTGGCCAGCAGAAATTGTATCTACCTATTTGACTTCAACAGAGCCAATGGGTATGTGGTGGCGAACACATTCTTCGGAAACGGCGGCGAGGAAATTGAGTGCCCCTGGTTTCATCCTAGGACAAAACTGGGGCATGTAAAGGACTTAGTCTTAGTACCAACGAGATGTCTAGCTTCTATCTATAGAGTGAGTGTTGATCATGCCAGTGCCGCTGGCAACAATGATCACTCCTTGGTGCAATTAGAGCTTAAAGCGAGGTCCTATAAGCCAGCTAGGATTGCAGGAAGAGACGTGTTGGTCAATTTCTGTAATCCCATTATGCAAAGGCATTTGCAAAATGTTCGAAGGTCGTCCGGCGGGGCGCACCAACATACCTCTCGAACAGACGGAGACCAGTCTGGCGCAAGAGGCATGGCCCGAAGGGTTCGGGCGCTGCATCTGGATGTACTACCTCAGGTGGAGGAGGCATTCAGAGCAGACCTAAGCAAGAAACTGCAGGATGCGGACGGCGAGGGATGGGAGGTTACTAAACCAATCATCCAGCAATGTCTGATCCGTGCATTCCCAAAGCGGAGTAGGGGTACACCTCCCCCTTCTTCTTGGAAGGAATGTAGTAAGAGCCTCCATCGGCTTTATGACGTCGTTAATGGAAGGAGACAGGCATGTATATTAAGTCCAGCGTCGATAGTAGCGAAAGCGGAGCTATTGAGGGCATCCTCTGCAGTCAAGGCAGAGGTGAGACGAGCAAAGACTCGGTTCGAGTGGATTTGGTGTCGCATTGCCCTTACGGGGAACAGATGGGAACGCGAAAAGGTTGTGGGAGTGCTACAGGGAAAGGTGGGGACCGTTCGTGAAAAAGAGCCAGAAGTGACTCCGGCTGAGTTTGCAACGCACTTCGGGAAGCTTTTCAGTAAGCAATCGGAGAAGCGGACACTCGGTCTAGCGAATATCCGGCATCTGCCCCCAAAAGTAGCCCCGGCCCGTGAACTCTCTGGCCCCCCAACTCCTGTTGAAGTTAGCGCGGCCATTAAAAAGCTAAACTCTTCGAGTGCGGCGGGATCTGATGGACTCACAGCGAAGGTTTTTAAAATCGGCGGAGAACCTTTGAACACTAGACTCCTAAGGGACTTCCAGGATATCTGGCCTGCTGCCGGATGTGAGAATGGAAACCCTGTGGAGGCTGCTCGGGTCTGCAAGTCATGGCAGGATGCAGAGGTTGTCACGCTGTTCAAGAAGGGGAATCCTAAGGATCCAGGAAATTACAGGGGTATATTTCTGTTGGAGGTCGCCGGGAAGATCTTGACTAGTGTGGTGGCTGAGCGATTGTCGAGACTAGCAGAGGGATGGCTAAGTGACTCACAATGTGGATTTAGGAAAAAGCGTGGGACGCTTCACCAAATTCTACAAGTGAGGAAGTTGCAGTCGGAGGTGGAGAGGGCTTCGGTCGAGACCGCAGCATGCTTTGTGGATTTTAAAAAGGCTTTTGATAGTCCTCCTAGGGAGGCGATATACGAGGTACTCGATTACATCGGGTGCCCCGCGGACCTACTCGCGGTGGTTATGGGCTTGCATCATGACCCTGAGGGGAAAGTCCGAAATTCGGATGTCCTCTTTAAAGTTTTACGTGGCGTGCGGCAAGGTTGCACCTTAGGCCCGATCCTCTTCCTCCTGTTGTTGGAATTCTGCCTTCGGGCGGCAAGACTAGCATCAGGGGTAGACATGGTTTGCAGGAATAAAGCTGGTTTTGCATGTCCAGCTGATATCTTGAACCTGGAGTTCAGAATCCAGAACGGGGCTTTCGCGGACGACATCTATTTGGTGGGACCAATAGATCAAGTCCAAGAAGACCTGAACCGTCTGGATGAAGTCTGTGCGTCGATAGGTCTGGATATCTCCTGTGGGAAAACCGAATGGCTATGGCTGTGGCAACGAGACACCACCCGGGAGGAGTGTAGAGGTAGGGTAGACTGTTGCCGGAGGCTTGTACTAGGTGGGACAACCATCAAACATGTGCGAGTCTTTTCCTATCTTGGGTCGTTGATATCTGAGGAGGGAGGCGTGTCTGCGGAAGTAGACCGTCGGTGTACAAGTGCGCGAAACTCACTTCGCCAGTTATCGCATGTGTGGACCTCTGCGATTCCGAGACTCAAGAAATTGAGTGCTTTCACATCACAGGTTTTACTGGGCCTATTGTATGGATGTGAGACCTGGAATATGAAGCGTGTGGACTACGACAAAATTGAGGTATTCTTGAATGAGTGCAGGCTTAAAATTCTGAACCGTCCGAGGTACTTAGATGGAGTTGTCTTTCCTAACGCCGAATTGCACAGGTGTGTAGTCTTACCGTCGGCTGTCGAGCTCATAGTCCCACGGAGACTGGGTTTCTTACTCAACGTAATAGCCCACGGGCATTGCGAGGGTGCCAGGAGGATGATTTTTGCTGAAGTAAAATCGCCTGTGCAGGTTCGCTCAGGTGCGGACAAGGATAACCTTGTCAGGTGCATGAGGGCTGAACTGGACTTTATCGTTGATGAAGCAACGAAAACCTGTGTAAGTCTCTCGGGGAGAGCGGATGCAATCCTGAGGAGTTGCCTAGAATCTAAGGAGCGGGGTAAAGCTTTGTTTGAAGTCCTGACAAACAAGGTGGAGACAGTCAACAGTAGGACGACCAAGTCGCTCATCAAAGAGCTTCTTGGGGCCTCCCGATCTGCTATTGGGAGGCGCAAGGACAAGGAGGGCGACGTTGGTGCTGCCCCGGGTAGAGTACCTTCTCTACGGCCGAAACCACTAGCTTCTTTTCAGTGTACAGAGCCATCATGTCAGATGGCGTACGTTGAAAAGAAGGCGCTGCACAGGCACATACGACTCTGTCATTCCGGAAAGGGGAGGGAAGAAGTGTTATTAATCCCACACTTGACTTCGGCAGCTACTGAGGACAAACCGTTCAAATGTAGCCTGTGTGAGAAGTCATATAAAACCATGGGCTGGCTGACGAGACACCTAGGTCAAGCTCACGGGGAGTCAGGAGTACCTATCAGTGACTGTACTGAGACCTTTAGTACCCAGAATCAGATACAAGGGAATGCAAGCCTAGTGTCGAAAGCAAAATCCTCTAGAGGATTGAGCTGTGAGATCTGTGGAAAGGGGGCGGGACCAGGAAGGTCCTGGGGTGCGAAAACACTGGCGAACCACATGGCGAGGGAGCACAAGGTGAATGCCCGAACTGGAGGAGTGAGTAGGAGTAGGATGGGGAAATCTTGCCCTGTTCCCCCGCCGTAGGGCCGCCCTGTCAGGCGTCCAAGTAGCGTGGACTGGAGAAGGGATGAGTCGCGGGGGAGTACTCTTGGGTTGCGGGAGGAAACCAGGTCTAACAACTGTAGTGGGACCACTAACTCATTCTGGGCCCGGTCCAGACTGAAGCCGTTATTTAACCTTTGGGTGGTTTACAAAGGACACGAGACAACGGTACATATTTCCTTTATGTACATGTCTGAGCCCCCCCTGAGTCAGCTGAGGTTGATACTGTGTCTAGTTAGTAGACTGCACTTGTCAATCCGGAGGCACGGAGGCACACCGGAGTTACATGTTGGCTTGTACACGGACCTCACTTCCCAATGGAGAGACGAGGGTGCACTGAACGCAGACACCCCACAGAACGGATATAAAAGGGGACCACGTAGGTAGATTGATGGGTAGCCATTCGTGCTCTTTGGGCGTAGAAAGAAGCGAATTGGTTTTCCCAAAGTATGGGACTTGTCCGGGTAGCAGAAACCCTAGACGGTGGGATAGCCATACCTGGTCTAGCAACGTGTAGCAGGACCGGCAAGGGGAAAGCTATCACACCCAGGTCATAGACCGGGGTGGAAGTTGCCTTCAATTCACTAACTTCAGCCCTGCGGGCCGAAGGGATGTGTGAGGAGTTCACAGACAGCAGTAAGAAGGATTGTTGGACTGGATCCAATAAGAATCATTCTAAGACACAAGAACAGGAGTGTGGCATGATACAAGAGAACCAGTTGGAGACCATTAATGGCAAACTGTGTCAGGTGGTGTTAAGGAGCAAGTGCTATGATAACCCCAAGAAGGAGTGCAATAGCATACAGAAGTCTGTAAAGAAGATCACCCATGAGAAGGTGTGCGACTCAGGACTGATTACCAGTGCAAGGTTGAAAATGTCCAGCAATGTAGACAGGTTCTTGAACAAGAGAAGGTTAGAGAATGCAACATGGGTACTGGAATAGGGTAAGGTAGTCATACAATTCTAGTGATTCCTAGCTTCTGTACCTTCCTACGTCATAACCTGGTACAGGGCACAAAGTGGACACTGGTCCTAGAACTATCTTGGGATAAGATCTGTTGTAGGCGAGTATACACATAATTGTGAATGGCATATCTTTGGCGGTCTGAGAATTCTCCACCAATAGTTTTAATCAGTGACGTCAGAGGGTACAGATATTCCCCCCGTACCGTATCGACCTTTCATTCGTGCGCGAGCCTCGTAGCGATACCCTATTCCAGTACCCATGGAATGCAACCTGATTTCCTTGGTAAACAGGCTCCCAAGGAAAAGGTTAGGATGAACCTGCTCAAGTATACCAGAATATTTCCAAGATGGTGTGCCAGAATGTTCAAAAGGAAAAATCTTGGGACAAGCTTAGACAAAAATGACAAGATTGGCCGAGAGAAGAGTGACATGAGGTTCTCAGAGGGTATGCTGACTATGTATCTGTTCAATAATGCAAATCTGTCAATGTTTCTGTATGCAGCCCTGTAAATCATGAGAGCTCTGTTATCAGGTTCCAAAGGAGGTCTACAACAGTGTACTCAGGAACTCAAGTTACAACAGAAACCAAGAATGGAATATATGAAGATGGGGAGTTGCTAGAAATAAAGAAGTATGTCGAAAATAAGGGATAGATAACCCTAATGTTNCTCCATTGTAATAAATACAGAGGCCGATAGTAATCTAGATAGATTACATTAAACAATGTCCACAGATCTAAATGCACTCATTAGTAAATATGCAAATCATGTATTGCGATAAACCTAACCTATATATGTATATATATAGCTCTGTCAAATCCAAATTGTGATTAGCTTAACTACGCTATATATAACGACCCAAAACTTGTAATTACATCTGTTAATATTTAATCTTTAATGTAGAATCCAAATATAGTTAGCTGATATAGAGACTCCAATTTGATTACTGCCAGAGAGTAACTTGGTTCTCATTGAAACATATGATCTGAGATTGTGTCCATTGGTTTGGCATTGATATGAGCTAGTGTCTGGTTGACATTGATAGCTCATGAGATTGTGCCCATTGGTTTGGCATTGATCGACTACTAGCTAGTGTCCATGTTGACATTGATAGCTGACAAGTTCTGTTGAAACATACGACCTGAGATTGTGCCGATTGGTTAGGCATTGATACAAGCTAGTGTCCGGTTGACATCGATTGCTCATGAGATTGTACCTATTGGTTTGGCATTGATTGATGAAGAGCTAGTGCCCGTGTTGACATTGATAGCTGGTCCTCATTGAAACATACGATCTGAGATTGTGCCTATTGGTTTGGAATCAATCAAGTAAGAGCTTGACATCAATAGCTTGTCCTCATTGAAACATACAAGCTGAGATTTTGCAAGTGGTTTGGCATCGATCGATTAAGAGTTTATAGTGTCAGGGTTGACATCGATGGCTGGTCCTCGTTGAAACATATGAGCTGAGATTGTGCCTGGACTGATACAGTTCTGGATGAAGTTTAAAGAGTATGGCTTTTACTACATCAGTTCTAAGCTTTCGTTGGGCCTCACTTACGGCTTAAGCTTTTCAATTTAAGTTGCATCTAATTTTTCACAGAGTTGAGTTCATAAAACCAGTTTTTTGAACTCAACTCTGCGGAAAATAATATGCAGTTTGAATCCTAAAGCTCAAGCCGTAAATAAGGCCCAACAACAGCTTAGACCCGAGCCGTTTTTTTTAAATCGTGGGCTCTGGAGAGATTGTGGAACTTAAACTCGGTTTAAAAGTTCTAAAATGAAATTAAGTTGACTAAATAACTTCCAGGGAAAGCTTGGTTCCGATCAACGTTTACTGGTTGTGCGTGGACCAAAGCTATTATTTTAATGGTGTACAAACAATGGAGGAAAAATATTTTAGGCAAAGGTAGCACCAATGGAAAGTATGAAAAGTACAAAATGTCCAAAAATTCAAGCAAAAACATCCTGGTATATTCAACTCTGAGTTGGTGTGAGGGGGGGGGCTACAAATAATATTCTAGTTTTGGATGCTGAATATGAGAGAAATATAATTAAGTGGTTTCTTCCTAATTGTGAAGCCAGGCGTGTTTTAAAGAGGTGAATCAAACTACCACAGTTGCGCCATGCATCTCATTATTTACCTTCTTAAGAATACCATCAGCTATTTTACTCGTCTTCGCTAGATCAAGAATAACAACTCCAAGTTTTTGCTCAGCTTTATTGGATTCCTCCTGAACAAAATTTGAATATCAAATTTATTTCTGCATTTGTCTTAATTATAGATTAATTAACTATAACAGATAAAACACTAGATGTCGTCTTTTCAAGATTTAAAGGTTTTTCGTGTTCACAATAACCCTAAGACAGAAGCCAAAAGGAGTTACGCGCATCCTCCAGAGAAAGAACCTGTTCTACACCGCATTCGCGTAACACCTTTGGGCTTCTGTCTCAGAGTTATTGTGAACGAAAAAACCCCTAAATCTTCAAAAGATGACATCTAGATATTTATTTTTTATTTAAAATTATATTAAGATTTCTTAGACTGTTCCCGCATATTTCATTGCTATTTGTTTTTACATAAAATATTGCCCACGCTTTTTCAGTAATTAATACTTTTAATAAATCCTCCTATACTTATAGTTAATATTAAAGTATAAAAACTTCTTTTGATATTTTAGATTATTTTAAAAATCCTTTAAACTTCGAAAAGACAAAAGTCAAGTAAATTAACTTATAATTTTTTAGCCAAGATTAAACGTTCCCGTAATTCTACCGGGTTTTCCAATCAAAATTTGAGGCAAATTGGTCAAGGGGTTTATAAGTTATGATCGAAGATACAAACCAACAGACAGAAAGACAAACAGAGTGATTACTACTTTTGATCAAGCAAAAAGCTTTATAATCAACTTGTTAAGTAAAGTCTTTTTGCATTATTTCATGATTTCAAATCAAAACTATTATCTATTATCTTCTATGTCTATTATCTATGTCTTCAGTCGTCTTTCTATTCTACATCTGTATACATGTCTCAGGCACATTAAACTAAGTAGTAGGATAATTCAAATAAGCGTATAATAGTCTGGCCGCGCAATCAAAGTTGAAACCTAACCGGCATAGGGTGGGGCCTGTACTTACCGAGCGTCACTAAACCGGTTCCGGTACAAGAAGTAAGTGCGGTTCGAATTTAAATTGACCCTGGACTAGACCGCTGTGCTATACCTTGGCATCTGCGTTATTTGCCCGCTCAGTTGACCTTCTCAGCTCCTCCTCCAGCACACCTAGGCGCCTGCTCAGCTCATCCAGCTTATGGTGACCATCAGTCTTCATTCTTGATTATTATTATTATTATCATTATTATTATTACTATTATTATTATTATTATTATTACTATATGATTAAACCTTTTATATATTGATTAAAAACATTTAACTACATTATTAAATCTTTTATATATTTATATAAAACATTTTGCTATCATTATCCTGAAGAGTAAAAGCCAGGGAATTTAATGATCTCAAATTTTTCTTAGAAAAAATACATTTATGAAAGGTGTTCTTAATATTTTTGATAAACTTGTTTTAAAGAGTCCGTTCAAATGAATATTGACATAAATTTGTTCAAAAAATGATGATGCGTGACATTTTTTATTAATTTTCTAACAATAGGAAAACCTTAAGAATCATAAAATCTGCACGTTTCTTTTACGTCTAGAATTTAAAAGCGGCTCAGAAACTGTCAAGTAATATTCTTAAATTAAAAATATTTCTAAAGTTTGCATATTTTCTCTTTAAGGCGCGAGAGAACAAAACGTTTTGCATACAGCACAATCTTCAAATTGGTTTCAGTCATTCTTACTTCTTTCATTTCAAGAAATATCTGGTTGGTACATTTCAGTTTCATGGCCTTTAGTTTTACCTCTTACACCACTTATACTTTAGTTTTACCTCTTACACCACTTATACTTTAGTTTTACCTCTTATACCACTTATACTTTAGTTTTACCTCACCACTTATACTTTAGTTTTACCTCTTATACCACTTATACTTTAGTTTTACCTCTTACACCACTTATACTTTAGTTTCCTGGGCAAATACATTTACAAAATTCAACCACTAACTTTTACATATATCTTAATTTTTAAAGGATTAATTTTGTCTGAGATTGTGCACATCTTGGTTTGTAGTGCGGCTTGAATGATTCTAATGATCTTTCCATCTTAGGCAGAAACCCATATATGAAATAAAAAATGTTAAAAATAAAAAAAAACATGGATATAATTAATTATTAATTTAGCAGAATCGGACACGCCTCTTTATCAATTGAGGGTTGATTGAAATACAGTATGCAATCCCTTTAATCAGTCGTTATCTTAATAATACCATTGTTTACAGTCTCTTTAATCAGTCGTTCTCTTAATATTACCATGGTTTACAATCCCTTTAATCAGTCGTTATCTTAATAATACCATGGTTTACAATCCCTTTAATCAGTCGTTATTTTAATAATACCATGGTTTACAATCCCTTTAATCAGCCGTTATCTTAATAATACCATGGTTTACAATTCCTTTTATCAGTCGTTATCTTAACAATACCATGGTTTACAATCCCTTTAATTAGTCGTTATCTTAATAACATCATGGTTTACAATCCCTTTAATCAGTCGTTATCTTAATATTACCATGGTTTACAATATCTTTAATCAGTTGTTATCTTAATAATCCCAGTTTACAATCCCTTTAATCAGTCGTTATCTTAATAATACCATGGTTTGCAATTCCTTTAATCAGTCGTTATCTTAATAATACCATGGTTTACCATCCCTATAATCTGTCGTTATCATAATAATATTATGGTTTACAATCCCTTTAATCAGTCGTTATCTTAATATTACCATGGTTTACAATACCTTTAATCAGTCGTTATCTTAATAATACCATGGGTTACAATTCCTTTAATCAGTCGTTATCTTAACAATACCATGGTTTACAATCCCTTTAATTAGTCGTTATCTTAATAATATCATGGTTTACTATCCCTTTAATCAGTCGTTATCTTAATATTACCATAGTTTATAATATCTTTAATCAGTCGTTAACTTAATGATATCATGGTTTACAATCCCGTTAATCAGTTGTTATCTTAATAATCCCAGTTTACAATCCCTTTAATTAGTCGTTATCTTAATAATACCATGGTTTGCAATTCCTTTAATCCGTCGTTATCTTAATAATACCATGGTTTACCATCCCTTTAATCAGTCGTTATCTTAATATTACCATGGTTTACAATACCTTTAATCAGTCGTTATCTTAATAATACCAGTTTACAATCCCTTTAATCAGTCGTTATCTTAATAATACCAGTTTACAATCCCTTTAATCAGTCTTTATCTAATAATACCAGTTTACAATCCCTTTAATCAGTCGTTATCTTAATAATACCAGTTTACAATCCCTTTAATCAGTCGTTATCTAATAATACCAGTTTACAATCCCTTTAATCAGTCGTTATATTAATATTACCATGGTTTACAATACCTTTAATCAGTCGTTATCTAATAGTACCATGGTTTACAAAAGAAAAATGTAAGAATATCAACAGATAAATAACTAAATAAGTAAGCTAGTAAATAAATTAGTAACTAAGTAAACGAGATAGTAAGTAAGTAATTTCTTAACAATGTAAAAGGAAATTTAGAAAGTAAAAAAAGTAATTAGTTAAGTAAAAAAGTAATTAAGTAAGTATAAAAGGAATTAGGTAAGTAAAAAAGTTATAAAAAAAATAGAAAAATAACTAAATAAGTATAAAGAAATAATTTAAGAAAAAAAGTAATCAAAAAAAGTATCCAAGTAATTTTATCAGCAATTGAAAAATAAGACAGTAAATAAGTTAAGTTTATTTATGCAGAACGTTTTTTGCATTGTGCAAAAATTTTTTATTATACAGGAGATCCAAGTAAAGTTGGGTATTAAGTTAAAATTTTAATACCAAATTTCATAATGATTATATAGAAAAGCTGTAATTCGTTTCTTATTTCTTCCTATTTCACAGTTTTCTTTTACAGTTTACATAAAATATTCTCAAGCAGACATAACGTTAATTCTAAATTAAGACAATTTCGAAATTGTCACTTAATTCTCATGTTTATTGGAACACCTTATACATGCATTTTACCTCCAGTAGCATGATCCTACGGTTCAGAGCAGAGATATTTCCTTCTTCTTCGTTTAAACTCTTCATCAGTACAGCTAGACGTCCTTGGGCAGCTAGCAGCTAAATATAGTACAGTACAGTACAGCTAGACTTCCCCTTGGACTGCTAGCAGATAGATATAGTATAGTACAGTACAGTACAGTACAGCTTGACGTCCTTGGGCAGCCAGCAGCTAAATATAGTACAGTACATTTCAGTGCAGTACAGCTAGTCGTCCTTGGGAAGCTAGCAGCTAAATATAGTACAGTACATTTCAGTACAGTACAACTAGTCGTCCTTGGGAAGCTAGCCGCTAAATATAGTACAGTACATTTCAGTACAGTACAGCTAGTCGTCCTTGGGCAGCATAGCAGCTAAATTTAGTGCAGTACATTACAGTACAGTACAGCTAGTTGTCCTTGGACAGCTAACAGCTAAATTTAGTACATTACAGTACAGCTAGGCGTCCTTGGGCAGCTAACAGCTAAATATAGTATAGTACATTACAGTACAGTACAGCTAGTTGTCCTTGGGTAGCTAGAAGCTAAATATAGTACAGTACAGTACAGCTAGGCGTCCTTGGGCAGCTAACAGCTAAATGTAGTACAGTACAGTACAGCTAGGCGTCCTTGGGCAGCCAACAGCTAAATATAGTACAGTACAGTACAGCTAGGCGTCCTTGGGTAGCTAACAGCTAAATATAGTACAGTACAGTACATTAAAGTTTAGTACAGTATAGCTAGTCAGCCAAAGTGAGGTTGAAACGGTCAAAATGAGATTTAAACGGTAAAAAAAGATTAAAACTTTAATTGTATTTTAGTGTTTGAATTAGCGTGTAGTCAGTTTGTGTTTAGTAGAGTTTGTCTGTTAAGACGAAAGTAAACACAATGTTTTGACTTTGATGAATGTATGTTTTGAATGAGTTCACTTTTATCTCTTCTCTTCTTACTCTCTCGCAATGTTATTAGCTGTCAGGGGAGGGGGGGGGGGAGTGTATTACTGGAAAATTAAACTGGATTTTAAAATTTTGAAATTTTAGTTTTGCAATAGATTCTTATTAGGCTTTTGGGCGCTTCGTGCCCATCTTCTATTTAATTTGTGAACATTTTCTCTTTGTTTATATACATAGTAAAACAACTACAACAAAAAGTTCGCGGATTTTGTCAAAAAAAAATCATGACATTAAAAATAATGAGAAGTAAAAAAGTGAGTGATACGTTTTTCAGCAATTAACATTCTTGACAATGTTTTTGAAAATATTTAAAAATAGAAATTTCCTTGCTGCGAATGTAAGATAGAAATGATAATATGAAAAACAAGTTCAGATCACTTTGGTCCAAAAATATGATTGTTTTAGCTTAATCGTTGAAACATTTTATTTAACAGAAAAGTATTTTAAGAATAGACAAGATTTATGAAGAAATCCAATACTTGAACAACATGGAAATCCAGCTGCCACCTCACATATTATAAAATTGTACAGGCTACAGCGGAGGGGAGGGAGGGGGGTGGGTGGCGGTAAATATTATTGATTTTTTTAAAAAGTTGTTTTGAATAACAAAAGTGCGTGTCATGAAATTAGACATATCTAGTTCATAACAACAGCATACTTACATTTCTAAATAGTGCAAAACACAACATACAAACAATTTTAATTGTATACAATGGTCCCCGGCCTACATATAAGACATCTATCTGATGTTCCTGTCTCGAAAAATTGACATTAAACTGTGTCAAATTTATACGAAAATTCATATATATATGTAATTTTGTATAAAAGTTGTAATTTTAAACAGATCATATTCAACAAATACGAAACCAATCTGAAAACGAAGATATCCCACAGGAGACTGAGAATCTCAGGTTTGCTCCTATTATATATTTTTTAATTATTTTGCATTTTTAAATAGATTTAATTGATAATATTATTACATATAGTCCGTATAGTCCGTATTATGTTACCATAACTTCAGCCAATGGCAGTGCAGTATACTGGTCACGTGAATTCTTTCTGTATCGTTTAACGCCTGAGATTCTCAGGTTTCATCCTATAACCCCTTCCAGTTTTCCTTTACAGTCTCTTTAATTTATTAAAGTTCCTTTAATAAATGTCCCTTTACAGTCCCTTTAAATAATCTTAATTTAGTGCTTTCCTTTCGAAAGTTGTAAACAGCAATGTTTTTGATATTATAGTTCAGAATATAGTCCTTAAAAACAAATCAAAGTGATTTATAATTAAAAGTCTTAATTTCTATGTTAAAATACTGTTAGATAATGAGAATTATTTAATTGATTATATCTTTGCATAAATTTACATGGGACTAATCCAGAGAAAAAACCGAAAATTAAGAATAAAAAAATCTAATTCGATCCAAGAAAAAACAGGACTCCCAAAATCCAGTTGACTGCAGAACTCAACATCTAATTCAATCAAATCGAACACTCTTCCATTCTCTCCTTTATTGTTCCTTATTTACTAATATCACCTAATAAAAACATCACATTCGTCTGCTTGAGCATTGTATTCTTTTGTTTTTCTCTCGTGCTCATCAGACCTAAAGATTTTACTTTCATGATCATCCGATCTAAATTTTTTTTTTTTTCATGATCATTCGATCCAAAATTCATTATTCTCATGCGAAATTGATCTCATGATCATCTGTTCTCAAACTGAATTGATTTCATGATCATCTGATCTCAAACTGAATTTTCTCATGGTTATTCAAACCAACTCAACGTGTCTCTATAGTTATCACTATGTAAATCTTTAAAAAAGAAAATGCACATGATTGATATAATAAATAGTATTATAATAAAAAGTAGGTTGACCCAAACAACTGAAAAAAAATCTAAGAAAAATCTAAATTATTTGCGGTATGTTATTATTGCATGTATTCTTAAAAAAAAGGTTTTTAAATACTTATATACGAGGGTCTAAAAGTGTTTAAATACTAATATACAAGGGTCTAAAAGTTTTTAAATACAAATAAACGAGGGTCTAAAAATTTTTAAATACTAATATACAAGGGTGTAAAAGTTTATAAATACTAATATACGAGGGTGTAAAAGTTTTTAAATACTAATATACGAGGGTCTAAAAGTTTTTAAATACTAATATACGAGGGTCTAAAAGTTTTTAAATACTAATATACGAGGGTCTAAAAGTTTTTAAATACTAATATACAAGGGTCTAAAAGTTTTTAAATACTAATATACAAGGGTCTAAAAGTTTTTAAATACAAATAAACGAGGGTCTAAAAGTTTTTAAATACTAATATACGAGGGTCTAAAAGTTTTTGTAAACCATTTAGAAACTAATTTTGATAATTACCAATTTACATTCCTAGGAATTATCTTTGTTTTTAAATAAAAAATCGTGTGACGTGCATACAGATAAGTTCCAATTGCGCATCTCAAAACAGAAAAAAAAACAATTATTCAGAATTACAAATACAGGGTTACTCTTACAGTATGCGTCTTTTTATTTTGGTTAGATTTTTTCTGACATCCATAGTTCCTTGCAGCTAGAAACTTTTTAATTTCTTTGCCAGAGGATTTAATCGTTATTCAAGACAGAACAATTTAAATATGAAACCAGAGCTGGGAACTTTAGAATGCTGGATATCGAGATCATTGCTTGATCCTCTCTTTTTCTTAATCTCAACACTCACCTAATCTTGTGTGTATCCTAAAAAGTGTATAAAATTCAACCAATCAGAGTGGAGTAGCAGGAGCCGGGAATTTTAAATTTTCGCGCCATTTAATGAGAGTTATCTCAATTAATTAAGATTAACATGGACAGACGGGAGGGACTATCTAAATTTGAAAAAAACGGTTTTTGATTTTTCTGTAAAAATAGTGGAATAAGCAAGAAATTAAAAGTATCTACATTGGATATTCGGATTAAGCAGATTAAGTTATCCCATCCAAAAGTTCCCAGCTCTGAGCTGAAAACTTTTGAATGGGATATCCTTAATCCTGATCGGATAATTAATCTGGAGATTAAAAATGAGAGGAGAACAAGCAATATTAAGATTAAGAAAAAGAGTGGATTAAGCATTAATCCCGATATTCACCATTCTAAAGTTTTCAGCTCTGATCTTTATATTTAAAGAGTTTTAGGTCTTCATTAAAGTCGTATATTTGATGAATAACCCTGTATATTGAGTTATTTTTATTGGAACTTATTTATGAGGATTAATAAAAACAGAGAATAGTTCAAAATAAATCACATTTACAACGTAAATAAAACTATAAACAAACAAAAAATATATCTTCTAAATAAATCAGTATTAGAAGACGATATAAAAGTAATCTGAATGTTCTTATAAAGCAAATACTTTATTTTTATAATACTAGGCTTTTAGGGCGCTTTGCGCCCAGCTTCTATTTAAATTGTGAACACGTTCTTTTTGTTTACATTTTAAAGAAAGAAGAAAAAAATTTTGCAGATTTTTAAAAAAGATTTAAATTTTTTTACAAAATTAAAAACCTTTAAAACACATTTTTTTAATTTTTATCATTCATAAACCTTCCCTGGGGTCACGTGATGTCACACAAAAAATTTGGGCCCGATCGGTTCAGCCGTTTTGACATTTATTGGATACAAACAAACAGACAGAAAAGCCAAATTTATATATAGATTTAAACAAATAAGGTAAAATTCAGTGTTCTATAGTTTTATGGGGACCACTGTAAATAATAAGAAAAATTTAAAGGTTATAAATTTTATTATTTCTCTTTTTACTTTGTTAAAAAACTATCTACGCATAACTCTTAATTAAAGGGAATTAAAAAGTTATTTCCTGTAACCATCCATTAACAGTGTGGAATGCCTGATTCACAACAGTACCATTAAAAGCTGTGTCTTTTCAAGTATGAATTAGATAATTAGATATCCATGATCTGTTTTATAAAACTGATAATTTTCATTTATGAGTTTCTCTGTGAAAATAACTTGCGCATTTCTTGCAATTTAGAAACAATGAAGAAATGAACAGAATTGATCACTTTGAAAGATAGAAAAAATCTTCCACATTATTGATCAGACTAATTGGTTACAAGGATATCATTGTGAATCGGGCATTCCTTTTTTCAAT